TAACATTGCTGCATTTGAAAAGTACCTCGTTTTACTCATTTTACTCGAAGCAGTTCTTTTAATACATCCGTAGTTTCTCGATGGGATCTGCTCCGTGGTCTTTTAATGCAGAGCTGGTAAGTCAAGTAAGATCTATTTCCTCCGAATTAAACTTTAGAGCTTTCTAAGTAAATGTAATTTATGTAACAATGGACAAAGAAAAAAGCAGAAAACTGTTTTTAACTATACAGTTCACTGGAAAAAAAGCAACTGAAGATGTAGATGTACTTCTGCGAGATGTACAGACTTGTCTGTTGTCTCTTTTATCACAGTTTATTCTTTTTCATCTTATTTACATATCTGATTATTAAGAGCAAAAAATATTTATAAAAAATGTTAGACGAAAATGAGAATGTTTTATTTTCTAGTGATGACAAAAAGCGAAAAATACCACAGCTAAAAATGAAGTTTATTTTGCAACTTGCAACAAAAACCAGGAGAAGAGAAATCAAATTTGTTTTAAAAGAAAAGTTTTAGTTTATTTTAATGGAAACCGGAAACTGAAAACACAAACAAATCTATAGTTGTTCTTTTATTCCACCTAAGCTCGATTATCACATGATTAAAAAATCTACTAGTTCTACTCCGCTCCAGGAGGTACTTTTCAAACGTAGCACATAACGTTGGTAAATTTGGATATCTGGATCAAAATTTAAACTATCTGATAGGTAGAGCTATCAGTTTTCCTCATTTAAATTGCATAATTTATTTTGCATACCTTTCTGAAACTTTGGGAAATGAAAAATAACTAGTATTCGAATCCGTTCGAGGTAGACATGGGCGATAAACACATCTCTTTCTTTTAGATTCCATCAGTTCACTAAAAAATTATTTTACTTTAATAAAATAAATAAACATATATGTAAATAGCTTAGCACATACCACAAAAAGTCTTGGATTAAAAACATGTTTACTAAACAATATTCATAAAATAGACAAAGGAAAACACTAAACACAGATTTACTCAATAATTGTTAAAAAATATACAAACGAAGACACTAAAACACACTAAATTCGATAAAAAAATCATAAATTACAAATGACTGATCCTGACACATCAAAACAACACTCGCATGTGACATGACAGTTTTGCCGGATATAAAATGGCGGCCTTGATCATGCGCAAAAAATTTTGGACTCTAAAAATTAGCTATCCTTCGCTTCTGTAATAGGTAGGTTATTCTGTGACTTGTCTAAGATCAGCACAGGGATTCTTATGTGCGAACCATAGAGATCATAATATTATCTAAGATAGACTCGCCCTTAACGACAAAAAACTACTAGACTAATCCATTAATTCAAAATTACAGTACAACAAAGATTGAGGTGGTAAGTCAGAATTAGTTGCGCACTGGCAAATCTAAAAATGAGAGGAGTTATCTCAGTTGAACTTCGATGCTGTTGTTTCAGTGATCTATTTGTGTTTACTTGTGCAGTGTTGCTAAATTTATCTATTTTGAATTTTTGCCAGTGCGCATCTAATTCTGACTTGCCATCTCAATTTTGTCGTACTGTTAGTCCTTATTTAGTGCAATCATTCAGATTGTGTTTTATATTACGCAGACAGACCTGTCGCATCGACTGCCACATTAGGAATAACGAGACGGCTTCTAATTTGAGTGGAGATAGTTTGTGCGAGTTTATTTATCTAATGAGCAAGCATGTGATTTATGAATGAATCAGTACCTACGTCTACAACGCTGTCATACTTCAAAATTAATTGCAAACTTTCCTGGAAATCACCTTCAACTATGATAGTTGCAAATATATTAAACTGATAATAACTGGCGTTAAGAATGCAAATATACATCCTTAATGTAATTTTGAAAGCCTTTTGTGCGTTTTAGAGCTTTATGTTAAATCAATATCGAATTATCACCATAAACAATCCTAGTAACAAAACTCACATATTTTTTCATAATAATTTGACAACAATGTGAATGTTTGCAATTCGATTTGTGTAAACAAAATTAGTATAGTAGTTGTTCGTTGTTGATTTTAAAGTGCTAAATTGCGATTTTGTTATTCTAGTATCATAAAAAAATAAATGAATATCAAATAAAAATATAAAGCTATTTTTTTATTATTATTATTAGTACATCGGTATTGTCACGACTACCTTTCTTTATGAAATAAAAAACTTGTTTAAATTAAAACTTTATTTCCAAACCAAATTACCAAATTACCAAACCAAAACATACCCTTTGGACTGCACGTCATGACACCTACTTTCAGAGTTGTCTGTATAATGGTATGGCATGACAACTCTTTTGGGACAGCAATCAGCGACAATTTTATACATACATTTACAATGTTAAATAAATCGAGCCTTATTCCCCTATATATGCCTCCGTCTATGCTAACAAAATTTTACCTATGAAATGACAGAATAACATTCTTATTACAAATATTTTGGCATACTACATATTTCCTCACCATCCTAAAGTCCTTATTAAACAGTTCAATGTTCAAATTATTCTCGAAAATCTCAAAAAATACAAAACCGCAAGCTGCCACTTGGCGCCGTCAACGAAATGTCTTAGGTTGCCAAACTTAAAGGATATGAACCATAATGTTCAATGTCCACATACGATACACGTGTAAAAGACGACAAATAAAAATCTTAAGTGATTGTAATCAATAAAAAACTCATATTGAAGCTTACAATATTTAATTTTTCTATTTTTAAAATGTAATTCGCGATTCAAGCTAAGTGATACGCCCTCTGGAGGAAATTTGTAAAAGGTTATAAGTAGGACTTTTTTCTTTTTTGCAAGGAGTAGCGGGATTTCGGTACATCGTCGGATTTTTAGCCCTTGAAGAAGTGGAAAAACCTTTTTTTTAGTAGCAAAATTTGTTTTCTAGCAATATGTAATCATACCCTATTTAAGGATTTTTTATAAAACCGATTTATTGTACTGATTTTTTTTTAAGTTTCAGTTCATCATTTGACAACATTGGAGGTCATATTCACTATTTATATTTTAATTTGTATCAATTATAATTTTCTTATTTATGAGCTTTAAATTTGTTTATTTATTATAGTGTGTAAATTGCAATCTATATGGTGTTAATGCCAAAATCAAAACTAAAGTATTCATTATTTTCCAAGCGTAAGTCGTAAAATTTTGTTTCTTACGATAAATGGATATCTACAAATTCACATTATTGAGATTTTGCAAAATTTTGTCTAGAATCAAACTACAATCTGCATTGTGACAGTTTTATTACCGTTTACATGTATACAAAGTACTGCTCCATTCACTTCATACATGCTGTATTGAAAGATAAAAATCCCACTGCAGAGTCGGTCTAGTTTTTAAAAAAGTTGTGTTTTAAAATCGAATTGTAGCCGTTATAGTATAAAAAATAAAATCAATTTTTACTTAAAGGCATGGCTTATGTTAGGTATTTTGAAAAACCTATTTATGGTTGTAAAGTCGCATTTCCATGTAGTCAAAAAATATTTAAGAGATCTAAACACTTTTGATAATAGATGTAATTTTAGACCACTCTTGTTTTAGAAATAACACTTTTTGAAACACAATAATTGCAATATGAAATACAACTTTGTTAAGACAAATTTTAGACCACAATAATATGAACACTTATCCAGACGACACTAAAAACCGCGGAAACTTTGGAAGCGCTCGGAATTTTAAAATTTCTTGCAATCTCTTTCGAAAATTGGCTTAATTATATGGTTTTAGATTGTCAGATAGTGACAGGTTTAGGTGTCCCATTTTCGCATACAAGCCTCGAAGAGGGTTGAAAAGTACATCAATTTTAAGTAGAATGAAAGGAAATTTACGAGTGGCTCCTGGGGATAACACATGGAAAATTCGATTTTCCCTAACAAAAATGGAATGTTATTTGTTGCCCATTTTTCCACGCATGCCGTGTTCACTATATGATTAATTAATAAAACTAGGTTTTGGAAACCCAAAGGTTTTAATGTTACAGGTGGCTAAAGGGTTGAAATAAGGGCGTAATCTTCTAAGGAAAAAATCGGGATTTTACCCGATTTTTTACACACAAGCCCATCGAATGTATGAAAACGTACATCGTCACTAGTCCAAAAAACATATTTTCTTGAACGACCCGAATGTATAAGTGCATTTTGGGATCGGAAAATTTTTCTGAGAAGGAAAATCGAATTTTCCATGTTATCCCCAAGATGCACTCGTAAATTTTCTTTTATTCTACTCAACATCGATGTACTTTTCAACCCTCTTCGAGGCTTGTATGCGAAAATGGGGCACCAAAATCGGTCACTATCTGACGGTCTATTTATTTCGGAGGTAAATGTGAATTATTCGATGAATTAAAAATAAAACAAATAAAAAGGCAAACGGATTTCAAAGACATTCCGCTGGTGTTAATCTGCTTATAAAGATACATATAGAAAAAAAAGATTTTTTGACTGACTAAAATTGCTACAAAATATTTAGTAGTAGTATTTGACCAGTGGGTAGAGTCAGTTTTTGTATAATAAGGTGTCATTTTTGCAATGTTCAAAAAGTTGCGACCTAAAACGTAAAAATTTCTATTACTATTTAAATCCTTTTTGTTTTAGTCTATATTCATTTTTTTATTTAATTAGCTGGTTCATAGCAAGTATAAAATCCTTGTTATGGCCGACCCTCCAATTATTGAACTTTATTGTTTTAACAAATTTCATTAGAAGACATTTTGAACAGAATAGAAATGGTTTATAAAAACATAATTTAGTTATATACAGTGCTGGCAAGATCAAACCTTCAGTACTACTTTTATAAATAAATAATTCTTTATTAAATAGTTAATCCTAATTTACAAATATTTTGATACTATTTATAATTTCTGTTTTATCTTATCATAATTAAGTATATTATATTAAAAAAAGCCTGTTGAAACTAATATTTGTGTATAAAGAAAGAACTATAAAACGCTTCATGTTAACAAACAGCTTCGTTTTACAGAGATACTTCATGATAGACAAGGGCATCCTAGTCTACGGCAAAGGCCCCAACGATATTACCAAAGGCAAAATCCACGGAACTCTAGACATTGGCCTCTCAGTCATTTCCACGAAGCAGAAACGGAGGCGAATAGACATCGACGCCGAGGAATTCATCTACCATCTGAAGACGAAAAGCGATGAAACGTTCACCAGTTGGGTGCAGCAATTGACGGCGCACAGGCTCTACAGGCAGCACGTTTTGACCTACGGCACTAACATCGGGGCCTTATTCAAGCCCGTCGACGGAATTAATAGTAAGTTTTATAAATATAGAAGGTGTTCTTTGAAACTTTTGATATCCAATGTCAATATTTCCCTTTCAGCCATTCCCAGGACTCCGGAGATTATGAGCCGCGACGGCAGCTTAACAAGAGGCCTAAAACCACCCAATGGCGGCAGCAGGCTTAGCACTTGGATACAGGAATCTGTAAACAGTATTGAGCAGCATCAACGCGATGCCAGCGTTATCGAACAAAACATCTCCAAGCTAAGTAGGCTGCTTCAGCAGATCGAGAGCAGTAATCCGATTGTTATCGAGGCAAGTAGAAAAATTGTTGGTCGTTTTCACACTAGTATTACAATTTAAGAGTGATTTATTTTCGAATTGCACTGTGGTCGGCTGGCAGCAATGTATGTTTCGCAGATGAGTCACCCTATAGATAATCTCATATCACTGATCTGTATTATTTTACTGGATAGGATATAGTCACCTAAAAAACGTTCCGAAAAATTGGCCGATTTGGGCAAATAATATGGCGGACCGGATGTTATTTGTCATAACCTCTATTTTCATTTGTCATTTGTGTCAAGAAGTTACGATGGAGACGTGTTTTTATTGTGGAACACGAAGTAAAAAGAGTATCCGTACTCTTCATAGGTAAATAAAACTATTTTATTTATAATACTTTGTTAATAGATCTAACTATTTTGTCAAAACAAACTGAAACAATTTCTATTTTACACATTATGATACAAGCATACAAGAATACAAATAACGTTTTTCGATTAAATAAGAAAATTGAAGTGAATTATAGTGAATATTACTAAATTAAATAATGTTCTTGTTATTTTAAGTTTCCTACAGAATTGGAGCTTTTGGGGAAATGGGTGAAGAGTATGTATATGAACAATTTTAATGTTGTAAGTGCAGGAATGCGATTATGTTCAGACCATTTTGAGCTATCCTGCATTGATAAAACACAAACAAAGACTGTTGGTAATGCTTTTAAAATTATTACTTTATATCCTTTTTAGATTAATAAAAATATTACAAGAAATATAAATGTTTATTTTTTTACCTTTTCCCATGATTTCCTCTATTTCATTTAAAATAGGTATATAAATATTTGCATAATTGTAAAAATTATGTAAAGCCTTTAAATTTGTTCTTTATTTAATTGTAAATTACATTCGAATAGTCTACACAAAATTTAAGTCATAACAGTATTTTCCTAGAACAATTTTTCAATATATATATATAATGAGTGGCACAAATTTCAATGTGGTTTGTATAGTGTAAAATTGGTTAGAGAGGCAACAAAAAGACCACGTATTAAACCTGGAAAAGTTAAAAATGTTAATTAAAATTTCTACCAGTGGTAATAATAACTAATAATTTAGTAAATTTTGATAGTTTTCCTAGACAAGTGTAGGTAATTTAAAATATATTTCAACATTTATATTGTTAAAATTAACTTTTCAATTATAAACTACCTACCTACATTATCTTGCAACTCTATGTAAATCATGTGTCTGAAAACAGCACTAGATCAGTTCCAATTCTAATCGCTTTAGTTGCATGTATCCATATTGTTCTATCAGTTCATTTTCACAGGTATTGTTTAGATCTTTTACATCTTTTAACCATATTTATATCCCTGTTCTTCCTGGTTCTATTGTAAAAATGGCAAACTCACCAATTCTTGTTTCATACTTGTTCCCTAAAGTGATTCGACCACCTATGTAGTTCTAGCTCGAGGCTGTTATTTCTATTACGAATATCTCCCTTTAGTTGTAGTCCCCATAAGTTATAAAAATCACTAGTGCAGTTTTAAGAATGTTCATTTCTACTATGGGTACTTTAGAACTGATCATTTATCTGCTATTTATGTAGATAGTATCGGATATCATTACTATGATATAAACAATAAACGATCATTCATGAAGACACAATATGCTTCACGTTTTCATTTTTATATTTTCTTTCATAAAAAATCAAATGATGGGTGAATTGTCCCGAATGACATTATCTGCGAAATGAATAGAAGAAGAACTAATCAAATTATAGGTTAGGTATGTCAAATTATCCCGCTATAATTTGCCCAAATCGGCCAGCAGTGTTGCACTTCCGGTCTACTTGATGGAACGGATTTTTAGTATGTCAAATATAGCCTATATCCTATCCAGTAAAATAATACAGATCAGTGTCTCATATCTCTATTTAGTTTGACGTACGTCATACTTAATTGCTGCAAGATATCTATATTGTTTTTTTGCATTATTTGATGAAGTTCGTAACTAAAAACATCAAATTTATTTTTTGTCAATTTTTTAGAATACTGCCGAGGCGGTTTCTCCGAACGTAAAAAAGGATAGAAGAAAGTTCGGGCTGAAAAAGAAGAAATCTTCATCATCCAAAGGAGGCAGCGTAGATTTAACTATTCAGTTAAATAATGCAAAGGCGATTACTGATACCGACAATACATCACCGTTATCGGTAAATATTAATATATTTTTACCAAGGATGGCTCTTAACAATAATATACTATTTTAGTACCTTTTTTCTACTACTTCTATATTGGTTTCTATCTGCGTTTTAGGCTAACTCATTTTCTGGTTTGTCGACTTCAGCCCCAGCTAATTCTATCCTCACAACGTTGCCTATTCCATCTAATACCACTGTAACGGCTCCCACTCCGGATAGTTTGAGCAACGTTGATGTGATTTCGCTCTCGGCTGAAAACCAAATGAGGGAGGATTTTATTACGCTAGCGAAACAAGGTAGCTAACTGAGTACTTTTCTTTTACATAGGATATATAGAAAATCTAGCAAAAGAAATCCTATATAGAATAATATTAACAAATTTGTATAACAAATTAATATAACAGATTAATACAACAAATTAATATAACAAATTAATATAACAATTTAATGTAACAAATTAATATAGCAAATTAATATAACAAATTAATACAACAAATTAATAATATAATAAATTAATATAACAAATTAATATAACCAATTATTATAACAAACTAATATAACAAATTTATATAACAAATTAATAAAACAATTTATTATAACAAATTAATACAACAAATTAATATAACATATTAATACAACAAATTAATATAACAAAAATAATATAACAAAATAATATAACAACTTAATTTCGACGGTTGTAAGGAGACACTGTTAATACGGCAGTATTGTGAGTTCACAGGAGAACCATTTAAGTTCGATTTTTTCGCCTAATACATTGTGCCATCCAAAATTGAAAATGTTTAATACACCATAAAACTGACTGATTGAAATCAAACATATGTAGATCGACGAAGAAAAATCATCTGATTCCGATGGTATGAATAACTCAATTTTGGCCAAAGTGGCGTATTAGTCATTTCTCCTTTTAACCGTTGACATAACAAATTAATATAATAATTAATTTAATATATTAATATAACAAATTAATATAACAAATTAATATAACAAATTAATATAACAAATTAATATAACAAATTAATATAACAAATTAATATAACAAATTAATATAACAAATTAATATAACAAATTAATATTACAACAAAGTAATTCGTGATATCGTTTTTCTCAGTGATAGGTAGCTTGAAATCATTGGTGTTCGGCATCAGCACTGAACGCGAACGTTTAAAATCGGCCTTAGAATCGGAATTGCAAGTTCCTTCTACCGTTTCGAATCAAAACATAGTAACGCTGAAGAACAGTCTGAATCAGGTGTTACAGCAGAATATGGACCTTAAAACTAGGCTAGTCAAAATACACGAGGCGTCTGATTTGGCGGACCTCTCTTGCGTAGAAAATCTCACCGAAAACGTAAGTCTAACTATTTTGGATTCGTTGTTGATTTGGGTTTTTTATTTTTGATTGTGTTTCGTATTTTTGGTTGTTTCTAAATTATTGTGACATTGTATTGTGTTGAATTAATAACTAATTGGTGAAAACTGAAAAAGAAAAAGCGAGGAAACTTTATGCCAAACGCATTACAGCATAATTTAAATTCAAAATCGTTATGAATATCTACGAATACATACAGATAATTATCGTATGTTAATTTGCGTCCAATTCTGAAAAAGTTGGAAAAATGGCCTTAAATTATTTGATAAAGTTGTCCTGAGGCGCCTTGATAGGCTTTTCAACCAGCTTTTTATTTTATAGTGGTTGCCTTGTATAGAAACATATCCCGTATAAAAATGCATAGTCTATTTATCGACTTCGCTAATAAAAGATTCCGTTTTTGCTTTGACTAACCTCCCCTCCCCTTCCCAGCAACAAAATCACCGTGCCTACGCAGCTTCGCTGAGCTACAGTTCATCGTGCGTCAGCGCAACTGAGTTTTTTGATGCCGAAGAGCTTGTTCCGGATCAGAAATCCACCAAATATGGGCTCGGAGAAGAGGAATCAGAGGTGCGAACTAGATCGGAGAGCAGCTCCGAAGGTGGTTCACTTACCAGCGAGGGAGAGGGCAGTATCAGTTCGGAGGAGTCGGAATTGGGGGTGTTGGAGTTGGATACGGAGAATTGCAGCGACGTGAGGGGTAAGTGTGTTGCTTTTAACTCGTCGGATACCGACTGGTAGCTTGAAAAATCCACACAATATTTTTATTTTGATTTGGCAGAGTCCCAAGGCTTGACGGGTCGCAGGACGTTCCTCCCGGTGCCCCGACCCGTCACAGAAGGCCTATCCCTTTGGAATCTCCTTAGCCGTAATATTGGAAAAGATTTGTCCCAAATCAGCATGCCTGTGACCTTAAACGAGCCTCTTAATGTTTTGCAAAGGCTGTGCGAGGAATTGGAATACTCTGAGTTGTTGGATAGAGCAGCTGGGATAGACGATCCTTATGAAAGAATGGTGGAAGTGGCTGCTTTCGCTGTATCTAGTTATGCCAGTACGTTGAGTCGAGCTGGCAACAAGCCGTTTAATCCACTGTTGGGTAAGCATTTGTATGACTGCTAAGTGGCTTAATAATACATTACATCTTGGTGCCCAACGTGTGGTTTTCCGTTAATACACTTTTTCTTATTTCTACTTTAGGCGAGACTTACGAATGCATTAGAGAAGACAAAGGTTTCCGCTTCATCTCCGAGCAGGTGTCCCATCATCCGCCAGTAGGCGCTTGCTACGCGGAGAGCCCCCATTTCACATTTTGGCAGGACGCCAGGGTCAAAACGAAATTTTGGGGAAAAAGCATGGAATTCCAACCCTTGGGCAGCGTTAATCTTCTCCTACCGAAAACCGGCGACTTGTATACGTGGAACAAAGTGACGACGTGCGTGCATAACTTGTTCAGCGGTCAGCGATGGGTGGATCAGTACGGAGAGCTCAGAATTACGAACGGCAGGATCACCTGCAAGCTCACTTTTGCGAAAGCCAGTAACTGGTCGTCTAAGAGACACGAGGTAAAAATGAAAATGGTCTTATTAAATATAATAATACACTTTAATGAGTATAATAGTAAATGGGTTAAAAAATTCTTTTCAAATACTGCTAATCTTGTTTGTTATCTATATTCAAATTTATTTATTTATTTATTTATTTATGGCTAATTACCTTTGTTTAATATAAAATCAATTTTATGACATTTTCTCAATTGTTTATGCCGAATAAAAAAAATTTACCATGGTTTTGTCAAATTATCTCTGCAAATATTACGTTTTTACCTGGTTTTGACAAAAAATACGTTTCCTCCTTTGTTTTGACAAAATCGATAATTTTTTCCATGATTTTGTCAAAAACCGCTTTATTTTCATGCTTTGCCAAGTTATCATATACACATTGACTATTTTTTCGATGGTTTTGCCAAATATGACGATTATGGTTTTGCCTTATGCGATAGTTTTCTTCATCGTTTTGGCAAAAACAACATATTTTCAATGGTTTTGCCAAATACTGCGTTTTTTTAAGGCTTTGTCAAAATAAAAGTGTTTTCCATTGTTTTGCCAAACCGACGTTTCCATTGTCAAATCTCATTAGTTTTACCAAATAGGCTACTTACTCCATAGTTTTTCCAAATAAGGCGTTTTAGATAAAAAAATGTTAGTTTATGTTGGTCGTTTTAGGTCGTCGGTGCCGTGTACGACGAATCAGGCCAAGCCGTCCGAAAGCTGTTCGGCAAGTGGTCGGAATCGTTGTATTGCGGCGTAGCTCCGTCCGCGAGATGCATTTGGCGAGCCGGTACATTGCCGCCCAATCACGAACTGTTCTACGGCTTTACGCGATTCGCCATTGAATTGAACGAATTGGGACCTGATTCGCATCTGTTGCCGCCCACCGATACGCGTTTCAGGCCCGATCAGAGGGCGTTGGAGGAGGGTGATCTCAGCACTGCGGAGACGTTGAAGTCGCAGCTGGAGAGTATGCAAAGAGATAGGTAAATAAAGGTTTTTATGGTTTTTACAAAAACGGGGTTTCTGTATTAAAATTTTGTCGTTTAGGAGGAAACGTAGAGAAGAATTGAACATTACCTACGAGCCCAGATGGTTCTCTTGTTCCCAGGACGACACGTGGCAATTCAATGGAAAATATTGGGACACCCGAAAGAATCCCGGATTCTCAAACTTGCAATTCGAATCGCTTTGGTGACCTGAGGTGTACTTGTTTAGGTGACACTTAAGCGGATTCACAATTATGACTCGTAACGGTGATTGGTAAATTTAATTCCCCCCTTGTACCAGGTACTACTAGGGTTAAGCGTTTTTTTTCCCCCAATTTTTAGGTTATCTGATTAATATTTTTTTGTTAAGTTTTTGGATGAATATAATGTTTTAAATGTTATTAATATATTATACATATATATTTTGTAATTATCTATTAATTTGAAGGTGTTAAAAACATATCAATATTTGATAATAACGGTTATCAAAGATATTTTTTTTACGTCCTTGGCAGCCTATATATCGGACTATAAAACCTCTAAAATGAATAGTTTTAAATAATGTGGCATATTTTTCTTTGTCTTCCCAACCAATGCATTAAAATTTGAACGTTGCGAAGACTATCAAGAAAAAGAATGTAAAATAGAATTTTCTATCATAGAGTCAGTCAGATAGTATAGAAAACATGTTTTTAATTATATTTTATCAACATTTACTGTGTTGCGGGAGATTAAATATAGTTTTACGCTTTATTGCTTATGAGGAAAAAATGTATTTTAACGCCTTCAAAGTTTGAAATGAAACCCAGTTTTTTTCTCTAGCGGAAATAATGTAAAAATTTGAATATAAGTTTCTTTTTACAGGATGTTCCAAATTAGTCGCTGATATGTCAAACGTGGTTCCTATTTTACAAATTTAGCGTGTGTATAGTATTTAGAATAATCTGAAATATGGTTAATTTTTGCGAGAATTTTCTTTTAAAAATTATGAGGACTTTTTGGAACACACTATATCGCTATAAAGGATAAAGCAATTGCAACCAATTGAGATTTTTCAATGAAATTCCGGTTCATATTTTCAATTTAAAAAAGTATTTAGAATGGCACTGTATAAAAATCAATTTTAAGTCACGTTTTTACAATATTTTATGTTTTATATTTATTAGTTTTTTTTTAAGCAATAAATATTGAAAGGATGAAAGGAATGTATAAATAAATCTTGTAAACATTGTATCTAGCTTTAGATAATTAGATACTGGGGCCGAACTTTTAACATTTTCTACTTCAAATATTTTTTACAATTATATCGTAAACAAATGTTTTTTTATACATGGTGTCCTATTAATGCGTAATTGCTCGATATTTCAATTTGTGTTATAGACACGCAAACAAGTTTCAAATAAAAGTTACATGCATTTGAAAAAGACATATTTTAAAAATATTGTTGAATATACAGGGTGTTATGTTTTTGCCTGGCAAATAAAAATGTATATTTTTTAAATAGAACACCTTATATTTTGTTTAAATTTTAAAATGGTCTGGTAATACTATATTCAACTCTAAAATGTTTTAAAAAAATATTACAGGATTGCCAAGCAATTAATTTTTTTTGTGAAATAAAGAATGATGCATAACCCAAATTAAATTATTATAATTTAGGTAGGTTAGCATTAATTTCAAAATTGTTTAAAATACAGACTTATACGATACCAAGGATAGTGGTGATAGAACTGGTTTATTTTATACAGTGTCTTAAAACATGGTTAAATATGGCTAATTTTAAGTTTAATTTACTCAATTTTTTCAAATACAACACTTTATTTTACATAAAATTCTTTATAAATTTACCTATCCAAACGATAGCAACAAGTTAGCCAATTATACATATACAGGGTATTACATCAGTGCGTAATTGATCGATAGCTTTTTTATTATTGGAAATACGAAGAAATGTATAATATAAAAGTTTTTTTACCTTATTTAACAATTATTCTTAAATATACAGGGTGATTCATAAACGAGGAGCTGACCAAACTTTTACTTTTTTAAAGCAAAACACTCTGAAGGTAGTCACACATATTTTATTGTTTTCACATCGTCAAACAATTTTAATAGTCTTCATTCATTTGCTACGATGTATACAGGCTGTGTCAAAACTCAGTTACGATTTTCTCAATTTTTAAAATGGGATACCCTGTATGTTATACCACCAATTAATTAATTTCTTTATTTTTAATTTTTTTAACAAACTTTTATGCGTTTGTTCTTTTGTTTTTAATTGTCAAAAAGTTTTACATGTAATTATCTAGATGTTTTAAACTCTACTGATGATAATAAGAACACAAAACATCTTTTCGGAAGAATTAAGTTGAAGATAGGATTGTTTTATTTGAAGAATTGAAGCTCTTGGTGTAAAAAGGATACAAGCCACAATTTGTCGTTAAGTGACTGTTTTGCTTAAAACATCTGATATTACTAGCCACATACAAATTATTTTACCTCTAATCCGAAAGATGGCGCTATTTTTCGTAAAACTTATATTTAAATAATTTTTTTATTTAAATTTGACAGATTTAAATCAAATTTAAAACTCGAATTTCTCAAAACTTTCTTAATGTGCCATGTATCCTTATTACGTCAAGGTGTTCAATTATAAAAATAATTACAAAAATGTTAATTTTTATAATAAAACCATCAAAATCTTGAGAAAAATGTGTTTGGGTATCGGCAATGCCAAATAACATAAAAAATAAGGAAATTTATTTATAAATTGGTTGTGCATTTGAAAATATCGTAATCTTGCATTTAGACACACCCTGTATACATTTTAACAAATGCATGAAAATAGACAACATTTTAGGAATTTCAAGTCTATTAAAATTGTTCAACGATGTGACAAACAACCAAATCTGTTATCCAGATTGTTTGGTCTAAAAAGTATAAGTTTAATTCGCTCCTCATTTATGGACTACCCTGTATATTTAAGAATACTTATAGAACATCCTCCTACAACTTTTGTATTAAACCTTCTTTGTATCTCCATTAATAAAACAGCTATCGATTATGTATGCACTGATGGGACACCCTGTATATGTATTATTAGGTAGCCTCTTGTTATCGTTGAATAGATAAATTTATAAGTATTTTTTTGCTAAAATAATATACATTTGAAAAGATTGAATAAATTGAACATAAAATGAGCCATATTTAAAACATGTTTCATAAAATAACTATTCGTTGGCTTGGTATCCCATAAGTCTGTATTTAAAACAATTTTAAAATCATTGCTAACCTACCTAAATTATGATAATTTAATTTGGGGGTCGACATTATTCTGAAATTTCACAAAATAATTAATTGTTTGGCAACCCTGTAATATTTTTCAAAAATATTTTATGGTTGAATAAAGTATTACTAGACCATTCTAAAACTGAATTAAAATACAGTGTGTTCCATTTAAAAAATATACATTTTTATTTATTGGGCAAAAACGTAACATTCTGTATATCCAAAAATATTTTTAAAATATGCTTTTAAAATCCATATAACTTTTATTCGAAACTTGCACGTGTGTCTGTAACAAAAATTGATTTATCGAGCAATTACGCACTAATGGGACACCCTATATATTGGCATAGATAACAGATAACAATAGATGTACAGATAAGACATAGTACGCTGACACATAAAATTATCAAGTTGCCTCCATATAATATCATAAAAACCATCAGAGATGTCATAATACTGAAACAGATACCCTTACAAAACTGTCACAGATATCGTCGCCATATTGCCACAGATATCGTCACACTAGTTAGTGACTAGTCTCTAGATTTTTTATCAAAAATTTTCTGTTTACGATATAATAAGACTATTCCTAGCATTAAAATTTGTCGAATTTATAGATATATAATATTATATTGTTTGTGGGTGGAAAGTTTTAAAATTGGTACCCTCGCGTATCCGATTGTAGAGTAAATTGCAAAAATCAATTATAAAGTTACATAATATATGAAATTGTTATAATGTTAAAAAATGAAACCTTCCGTTCTAGTCATTAAAGTTATAGTGAAATTTTATCAAAGGTTATTTATATAATATAAATATGTATGAAAATACAATGAATCGATAGAAAAAAAATAAAAAATAACTTTGCTAGAAGAGATTGGCTTTGCAGTATGTTATTGTTGTAACTAATTCGGATGTTGACAATTTCTTTGTCTGTCATTTTTGGCAACTGTAGGTAATATAAATTTAAATTATTTCTTTTTGTATATTAAAAAAATGATGTTATTGAAGTTTTTAGTTTTTAATCCAAGACAGATATTAATTATCTTTACCGGTTTTTAAATAGCAGTAAGATAAAGTCAACTTTTGGGATTTTTGGGAATTTAACAGGGTCGACTATAAAATTTTACCAGTCTAAAACCAGTTCTTAAAAAAAATAAAATTCTCTACAGTTGTGAAAACGCGTTAAAGACAGCAATTCAATATTTTTCTTGGTTTCCAGATGGTAAATGTGATAAAGTAAAAAGTTGTAATTTTGAGAATTTAGTAGTCATCTTTAAAGTCCATCTGTCTAATATCAATTTAATTTAAAAAAAAAAAATTGAATTCTTAAAATATATTCAGAATATTTATGGAAACATTCAATTTTGGACAACAATTCATTATTTTTGCTGGTTTCCAGATAACAAGTTAATGGCGATTTTGGCAATTTAACTTTGTGATAAAATCCTAATATCAAATTACAACAGTAATTTATTGTAAACAATTATGAGATAATTACACATTTGACGAGATAGTATAATATAATTCAAAATGAATTGAAAAAGATTTAATATAAATTGAGAGTATTCTGCTTCAAGTATTAATATTATTTAAAATAAATAGTGAAGGTTAATGTACTACAAATGTATGAAATAGTGGGAAAGAGAAGGACAGCATCTTCGAGACTAATCAAATTATTATAAGGTATTGTCGAATGCCCGGAATTACAATAAAATAACAAAATTTGACAATCCAAGGGTTCAGCATCAAACTAAACCTTATAAAAATTACACAAATCACTGTATTTATTATGTCACTTTTATTCCAGTACACGAAATATGTCTAAACTTTTCCATTCTTGTTGTTTAACTGGCACCGTCAATTAAATTACCTTATTTTGGAAAGAACTCGCACACAAATCTTTTGGGAAATGGCCTATATTGAGATTCTTCTGAAATTCAGATATGTTGTTTTATTGATACAAAACTGCCTTACTTCTCTGTATCTGTAACGTGTGGAGGGTGTTTTACCCCCCCATGGCACTTAGGCCCATTGTGCATCCTCCTAAGATGATAGGCACCTCCTAGCTCGTGAGCCAGCCTACAGATTTAATGTAGTTGACAACGTCGCCAAGAGGTGCTTCTCTTATATCGGCCGGTGTTAGCCGATACTCGCCGAACACAAATCTTCTAATAAATGAGAGCGTCGAGCAATCGTAAAGGATATGCTCGATGGTCTCATCTTTCTGTTCGCACCCTCTGCAGAGTGCGGATTCTGACAGCCCCCCATGATATGGAGATGCTTCCGTACTTGGCAATGACCAGTCAGAATGCCTGTGGCCAGACGCAGATTCTGTTTAGTCATAGTCAAGTATTTGTTTGCTGCAGTATTGTTAGGATAACTTAAGAGGTCCCTGGCAACTCTGCAGTTTCTTGTTTCATCCCATCTTTCCTTGAATTTCACAAGGGAATGTTCTTTAATTAGGTCTGTCACTACCGATTTTGTCAGGCCAATAGAAGGGCCAGGTTCAAAAAGTATTTGGTTGGCTGCTTTCTTGGCTAGTGAATCGGCGTGATCTTTGATCCATCTTAAGGTAACCACATTGTTGATGGATACTTGGGCCAAAGCTTCGTGACATTCTAGTACTAACCTTGAATAAATTCGTGGTCTGTTCAGGGTGAGTAGTGCTTGTCTGCTATCTGTATAGATGAGCTTGTTCCTTCCAGTGATATTGTTTCTGGTTATTTCTTTTGCTGCTATGAGAATCCCCGTTAGCTCTGTTTGAACTACACTTGCAGTATTGCTCACAGTCCATTTTATGTTTAGGTTTAAGAATCTGGAGTATATTCCGCAGCCTGAGCCTTGTTTTGTTTTAGAACCGTCGGTGTAGATATGAATCGTACCTGCCACTTCTGGCTCTTCTATTTGTTCTATTATAACTTTATATGGCTTATGAAAGATAAGCCATATAAAGTATATTGAGATTCTTCTGAAATTCAGATATGTTGTTTTATTGTTACAAAACTGCCTTACTTGTATACAGGGTGTTAAATTATCATTTGTCTAACTTAAGATATATCACATTTTTATTTAAAATGTATTTCCACAAAACACGTCATTGGAATTTATTTTATTTTTTCATTTGTTCCACACAAAACCATCCTTTTTCATGTTTCGTAGGAAAGGTCTTTGTAATTTCTTGATTCAAGGTGGTCCATCTTGGAGAAATATATTTTG